TTTAGGGTTTAGGGTTTTAGGGCTTAGGGCTTTGGGGTTTTAGGGTTTAGGGCTTTAGGGTTTTAGGGTTTAGGGTTTAGGGTTTAGGGTTTTAAGGCTTCCTTCAGGGATTGTAAGGTTTCCTTTAAGGGCTCCTTTTAAAGGAGGGGCTCGGGGGGTTTATAGGGGGTTTAAGGCTTCCTTCGGGGATTGTAAGGTTTCCTTTAAGGGTTCCGTTTAAAGGGTGTGTTCTGGGAGTATATTTTTGTGATCTACAGGTTTAGTGGGTTTGGGATTTTGGGTTCTGGGCTTTTGGGGTTTAGGGGTTTTGCTGTTTAGGGGGCTGGGGTCTTGTTGGTGTGTTGGGTTTGGCGTTTGGGGGTTCCGGTTCAAGGATGAAGATTTCAGGCTGAGGCTTTGGAGCTTGGGATTTTGATGGAAACCTGACCGGGGATTGAGATTCGGTTTCCCCAAGGCTCGCTAATGCTTGCCATGACGGCTCGATCAAGGATCAATGGGAGTTTAGGATTTTAGGCTTTCCGGGTTAAGGGCTTCGGGTTTGTGGTTCAATTAGGTTGCAGGTTCAAGGCAAAGGCGTCTCAAGGGTTCAAGGTTTGGGGGAGCAGTCGTGGCAGCAACAGCAGCAGTTCTAATTCTGATGATGACGATGAAGATCACTACGATGATGATAGAACTGTCATGGGTGACTCTAATTTGTTGTTGATAGGACGAATGTGCTGGACACGGCTACTGTCGTTGAGGTTCGGCGTCTTCACAATCGCGCAGCAAAAACACCCTTGCTGTTCGATGTTGGGTTGTTCCCAAATTCAGAAATCCGAATCCCTGCCTCCGCAAACTGCATCCGGACGCTACTGGTCAAGATGTCTCTTTCGCCGCACTCCTTGCACATGTCCTGAGGTTCAGGGCATCAAGCGCTGGGTTGCCCCTGGAAAAAATCCTCAAGCCGTTAGAAACATTCAAGTTTTAGTGACTGCGTTTAGATCACGGCTGAGTAGTCGATATGGATCCCGGCAGCATAACCATAGCGTAGTAGGCTTCAGGGTTGCAGATTTGGACCCCAAACCCTAAACCGTAAANNAACCGTAAACCCTAAACCCTAAATATGGGATTGGAGATTCAAGAGGCTGGGTTTAGGGTTTTAGGCGTTGGATGGGCTTCGGCTCAGGTAGCCCTAGTCCCAAGCCATGGAGCTTCCAGTTTGTAGTCCCAAACCTGAAAACTCCAGCCCAAGACCTGCGCCCTGAAGCCTAAACTCCCAAGCGCTTGACTTCCCAAAGTCTTACTTTAACCCATGTCAACATTCCGCTCAAAACCTCTACAAAACCGCCGTATAAACCCTGTAAGGCCCCTAAATAGACTCCTAACCCTTCAGCCCTCTGGATAACCCTAAACCCGAAACCCTAAATCCTAAACCCTAAACCCTAAACCCTAAACTCTAAACCCTAAACCCCAAACCTCTGAAAAGCTGAGCTGAGACTCCGTAGCATCCTGCAGGGCGCAGGCCACGAGCTCCGCGGCGGCGCGGCTCGCCTGGAGCCGCGCGTAGCGGAGCAGGGCGTGGCACTTCGCCTTCGCCTGGGCTTGGTTTAGGGTTTAGGGTTTAGGGTTTAGGGTTTATATGCTCTTCTGAGAATACAAAGAGCAAATAACAACAATAATGGTATTAGTAATAGTAATGAGCATAATAATAATTATTATTATTACTATTATGATTCCGATTATTATTATAGTAATAGCAATGATATTAATGATGATTATTATTATTAATTTTAATATTATGATGTTGGTAATTAGCGACGATAGCAATAACAAGGGGCGTTTAGGGTTTGGTGTTTGTTCTGTTCGGGCTTGGCGTTCAGTCTCTTTTTTGCCGTGGTCCTCCTTGTCGTCGTCGTCGTCGTCGTGGCCGTGGCAGCGGCCGTGGAAGCAATACCTATACTGCCTGTACTACTAGTGCTTCTGCTGCTCCTCCTCCTCGTGCTGCTCCTCCTCCTCCTCCTCCTCCTCCTCCTCCTCCTCTGCCTCTCCTCCTCCTCGCCTTCCGAATTACCGACTCTAAACAACATGCGGACCCAGTCACGGCTTCCGATTCGTTGCCTTTGCCCTGCTTTGGCTCTCGTCGGGCGGCCGCAACCGCCGACAGCAGTAGTGGGAAGAGGTCCTCAACAGGGGCTGCTCGCAACAATTTCCTGCGTAGATGCAGGGCAATAGCAGTGGTGAGTGGGGTCGGGCTCACGCACGAACCGTTGAAGAAATCAGCTGGCTTTCCCGTATTTGTGGCGCACTGCTGGTCCCTAAACCCCAAGATCTGTTTTATATTCCTCCCCTCAACCCGAAACTCGAACTTCGAAACTTAAAATGACACCAAATCCGAACCCTCAATTCAAACCACGAACCCCAATCTCCGATCCCCAACCCCGCCTCCAACCTCATCCCTATACACCCCTATCCCCCAAACCCTAAACCCTAAACCCTGAACCCCAAACTCCTACAGCTACTGAGCCCGGTCCGGCGTACGGCCCGGCATGAAGCAGTCGGCCACCATCACCGCCGAGGCCACGGAGGGGCACGGACGGCAGTCCAGGAGCTGCATTGCAGCACCGCAGTAGTTCCTGGGCTCACATCAAAAAGCGCCGAGGCCCGAAAGTTTCGTAGGGATTTAGGGTTTAGGGTCTAGGGCTTAGGGTTTTGGGTTAAGGGTTTAGGGTCTAGAGCTTAGGATCTAGGGTTTAGGGTTTAGGATTTAGGGTTTAGGGTCTAGAGCTTAGGGTTTAGGATTTAGGGTTTAGGGTTTAGGATTTAGGGTCTAGGGCTTAGGGTTTAGGATTTAGGGTTTAGGATTCAGGGTCTACGGCTTTGGGTTTAGGATTTAGGGTTTAGGGTTTAGGACTCAGGTTTTGGAACGGCGGTCCATCGTAGAAGCATCAAGAGTCCAAATCCTGGAAGGTTTCCATCCTAGGCTGTGAACTTTACACACTCTGCGCCTTGAACGTCTGCACCCCACGCCACAAGACCTCAAAGTAGTTGTTGAGGGAATGGTGCCTTTGCGTTTGTCTTGCAGAAGCGCTGTTCAAAACCACTCGCACAAACGTCTCCGTTTTTCTTGCCCTTTCAACTCTGAAGGTAAACAGACATCGAAAAGAAGGCCAGCACGCCGTAACCAGTACCTTATCACACCGTCATGGTCATCAACCAGAACCGCAACAGCACCAGCAGCAGCAGCAGC